GAATTTCGATTTCTATTTATGGTAGTGAAGCACTGAAATTTTATACGCAGTTTTGCGTTGGTTGGGTGACATTATCTTCGGAGGTCTGTCTCAAATTTACTACAAAGAATTACGTGGCGTAACTACCACTATGATTATTAAACATCAATTCACTAATATATAAGACACGCTAACTTGATCGCTCAAGATCTTGAGGTACCTTTTGATAAATTAAAGGTTGGCAATGTCTAATGGTCATTCCCCACATTTATGACCCGCAGACGTGATCACGACTACTTCGATGGATGGTCCACATTGAGCAGTTGTCTTGCTATTTGTGAGTGCGTCATCGTCCTCCTAGCACCGTTGCTTCTCAGTCACAATTATACACAACTTACCCAACCTTCACACTCGACTGCTAAAAGCAACACAGGAGTGACCTCACACACAACCATGAACCTAATACAGCTCTCATAGCTAAAGCTCAAAACCCGGAGACCTTAATCCAGCTCTCCCGGTCTTTCACGAATACATCAGCTAGTGGTATCCGTTCATCGAATTCTATCCCTGATAAAATTCTGGTGGAGGAGGAGTATTGTGCACAACTACCACTACGAATATTAATCATCAATTCACTAGTATATAAGACATGCTAACTTTATTCAATCTTGAGGTATCTTTTGATAGATGAAGGTTGGCAATGGTCTTTCCCCACAACATAGTTTATCGACAGTAATAATATAAAATAAATCGAATAATGCTTGTTTAAGAAGGAAATTTTTGATCGTTTTGTTGGCTTCTTATGTAGTTAATTCAACAATAATAAATTCTTTATGAAAAACAAAAACNGTCTTGACAACTGAAGATCAAAAGGGAAGAACGGTTTATATCAGGAAAGCTGTTTCTGCGAAGATACAAGTTTCAAAGCGAACAAAAACGGTACCGATTTTGGACGCGATGCAATCGTCACATTTGTGAGAAGTGGATTTAAATAGTTTTAAATGCTAAAATAGAATTTCGATTTCTATTTATGGTAGTGAAGCACTCAAATTTTATACGCAGTTCTGCGTTGGTTGGGTGACATTAACTTCTGAGGTCTGTCTCAAATTTACTACAAAGACATATATGTGGCGTAACTAGTGCCGGATTAAGCGTACGCTGGGCCCTAGGCCATTCAAATTTTTGGGGCCCTGAGATTATATATTATTTTCTCGTATATTTTTTATTTATTCAAATATAAAAGTATTTATATATCTTTTCATTTAAGAAAGCAAATTTAAAATTAAAATAAATAATAATAAATTAAATTTTAATAAGTAATAAATAAATATGATTAACATTATGTAAAAAAATTATCGTATTTTATTAATATATATTTGAAATAGATTTTTTTTTATTTTTAAAAATCATTATTTTTCTTAATTTTTTAAAATTTATTTTCAAAAAATCCATTTTAAGGGGGCCCTAATTATTGGGGGCCCCAGGCCATGGCCTAGTCTTGGCTAATGGGTAATCCGTCACTGGGCGTAACTATCACTATGATTATTAAACATCAATTCACTAATATATAAGTCACGCTCACTTGATCGCTCAAGATCTTGAGGCACCTTTTGAATAATTAAAGGTTGGCATTGTCTAATAGTCATTCCCCACGTTGGTGACCCGCAGACGTGATCACGACTACTTCGATGGATGGTCCACATCGAACAGTTGTCTTGCTATTTGTGACTGCTTCATCGTCCCCCTAGCGAATTGCTTCTCAGTCACAATTATACACAACGGGATCCTACACACTCGACTGCTAAAAGCAACACAGGAGTGACCTCGCACACAACCATGAACTTAATACAGCTCTCATGGATCCAGCTCTCCCGGTCTTTTACGAATACATCAACTAGTGGTATCTGTTCATCGAATTCTATCCGTGATGAAATTCTGGTGGGGAAGTACTGTGGCGTAACTACAATTAATAAACATCAATTCACTAATATATAAGATATGATAATTTGATTTAATCTTGAGGTACCTTTTGATAGATAAAGGTTGGCATTGTCTAATGGTCTTTGCCCACAACATAGTTTATAGTCAGTAATAATATAAAATGAATCGAATAATGTTTGTTTAAGAAGGAAATTTTTGATCGTTTTGTTGGCTTCTTATGTAGTTAATTCAACAATAATGAATTCTTTATGGAAAACAAAAACAAATATTTATTGATAATATAAGTGTACTCCTAACTTTCTACATTCACGTGCATTTCGTATAGACGTTCTACAAATTTTTAAATCACAAACCAAACTAAACATAACAGCTGTCACCATTCTTAATTTCCAATATATATGCGCCTACATTTTGATTAAAATAAAAAAGGGTACACATAGGCAAGCAATAACTGGGATTTGAAAAACCTAACAACAAATAAATCTTTTAAAGATGGGCCGGTTTAAGTAAGTTTTTTTTTCTCTATAAAACGTCATTAATAATAACAAATTTAAAAAAAAAATTATCTCTAGTGGTAGCAAGTAGTCGAATAAGAGATTAGATGAAAAACAGTCGCCGTTAGGCCAACTTGAGAGGTTTTCGTGGATTTCGCCTTTATGTAACTATCGCAGAAATACTTCTCGTATCTCTTTGACAATACCTGTCTTCAAGTCTGGATTTATTTATTTATTTTTAAAGCAACATTTTTAGTTAACAATATTTTGAATTCTAAATAAAGTTTCATTCATTCATCGAAATCATTTTTCTAGGAATCCGAATGTTAACTTATCTTATTGATAATAATAATACTGTGAATAGGCACTTTTAGATGAGAAATGATAAAGTTTATCAGAGACACTATTAAAAAAGAATTAAAAAAAAGAAAAAGATCAAACGACAATTTTTGTAGATTAAGTTATCACAGTAATATGGCAGCTGTTTCATAACCTAATAATGCTTCTGAGAATGACAAAATATTCTGTAATAATTATCTTCATTTTTTTCCTATCGTTCGAAGTTATTGTTACTACTATTTAACTACAGAAACAATTACCATTACAGACAGACGAGATTGCCCAAAGTAATCTCACCAGTTACAAAGTAGCTTTTACAAACATAAACCAAAAATAAATTTTTAGATAAAATTCTTAATTTTTATGGCTATGTTATTGGATTCTTATTTTTATTGTATTAGTGACGATTAATTATGGCTGATTGAAAAGCATCCATTATAGCTATTATTCACTTGTCATTCATATATTTTAGTTTTAATAAGTCTTATGAAGTTGTTGTTGTTAATTTACGTCACACTAGAGCTGCACAATGGGCTATTGGCGACGGTCTGGGAAACATCCCGGAGGATGATCCGAAGACATGCCATCACAATTTTGATCCTCTGCGGAGGGGATGGCACCCCCGCTTCGGTAGCCCAACGACCTGCGCGTGAAGTCGAGCACTTTACGGTAGCACAGTTTAACAAGGACCAGTGATGCTCGACTTCGGTGATCTGCTGGGAACCGTGTCTTAACGATCAGTCCACTGCGGGACATAAGTCTTATGAAGGAAATGTTACTGATAACAAGTAATTCAATACATACTTTTGTATAACCCAATGTATTAATTTTTTAGATCTTATGATAAAAAAACCAAAGAATTTTTTTTAACTTTTTACAACCATTGCTGAGTAAAGGATTCTTGGTATTAATAGTATTAGAATTAATGAACATCAAATATGTTTTGAATAAAAAGATCCACTTTAGTTTTATTCTAATATCTATTCATATTAACGAAAGAAATGTAAGTGATAAAAAAGTATTCATATGTTTGGAACAGAACTCAAACATTAAGTAATCTCTAAATGTAAAAATTATTCTCAATTGAAATAATTTAAAATATAAAACAATAATTAGAAAGAGGGATTGAATATGTTATGACAAAAATTTTATGTAATCATTACCTGTAATTTTTCTAAATGTTCCGAGAAAAAAAAATATAAGTTTGTTTAATTTTCAAAAAATTCGTTCACATTTTAATTTTCCTGTTAGGCAAAATATCAAGTTTGCAATGTACAACACTCTAAGATTATACTTTTTAATAATTTATTTCATTTCTAAATTTTTATAAAATTACATTTCTGTTTTCGGATCAATAAAAACTATTTAGAACTCAGTATTAATATCGGTAAATGAAAAAAACTGCAATGATTTCACATCTCTAAGTTTCTAATGAATCATAGAGCATGGCAGATGATTTCTCAAACAAAATAAGAGGGACGTCAACTTGTTCCATTTTGTGCTCAATTTTTTTTCTAGATATAGCAAAATCTATGTTTTAACGTTTGATTTTCGGTTAAAAAAATTTGATTTGAAGTTATTTTTCCAATAATTATTAATGCACGAGTTTGCATAAAACGGTAATATTTCAGGGTGAGCTGTTAGAAGAGTTGTCAAAATTGCCCATAATTCGAGTGGGTCTATTTTGCTAAGTTGACCAGTTTCCTCATAAAACTAAAAAACTGGTGGTAAAATTTCTAAACAGATCTTTGAAAACTCACTATTTTAATGTCTTTTTAATTTAGTATTCTCTAGAAATCCTAGCAGAGATTCTCTAACAGATATATTTTTTTTAAATAATTGCAAAGGTAATAGGGGAGTTTTCGAACGTTATTTTGAAATTTAGCTAACAATTTTATTCAGTTTTAAAAGGACGCTGGTCACCTTAATCTTGCGCAAAACACATCTGCCCGATAAAATTTTTGATTAGTGGCTGGAATGGACTTTTAGTGTGTTCGCACAACTTCCAAATATTTTGATATGACGGTGTTTCAACTCTTAACTGACTTTTCATTTTATCCTTAGCATGTTTTTTAGTCCAACCGATCCGTCATGCTGAGGACTGATCGGTTGTTGATCAGCATGTTGGGTGCCCCATCCCCCATTTGGAGTTGTTGTATTTCATTATTACTTTCAATTTTATTATTTTTGAACAAGAAACTTTTCATCATACGATAAATTTATTCTCCCATACAAGCGAAACGATAGCCGATCACACGTAGCTCCAGTTCGACTTTAACGCAAACACAAAAATACGCATAATTATTTCCTGTGTGAACGTCAATGAAACTTGATTCTCTTCAGCTGCTTTTATGCGGCTATCGGGTGATGCATTTTGTTCTCAATTTTCTTTCCTTTTATGATGCAATCTGCGGTTATAATCATAGGATTAGTGTCAAATGTTTTAAAGTAAGAAATGAGTGGCGATGCCGGCCACCAACTACCACTTTACCCTGATCCAAATCTAATTGTTTACCCGGAGGTATTGATTTTTGTCTCGTTTGTTTACCTTTCTATGCTCCAGTTCAATATTTATAATTTCTTTAAATATTTATTCCGAAAAATGATTTAATTTCCAAGTAAATGCAGCGCTAGATCATGCCTACACTCATTATCCATAAGTACTTCATTTAAGTTTAAAATATGTATAGTCAAATTTTTATTTTATGTGTCTTGTATGAAAATGCTAATATTCTGTCTAATCCGCGAAAAAAAGATAAATATTGAGCTGACTTTCATTTAAATGCTGCACACGTTTTTATTTTTCTCATAAATATCAGCTATAACGTTATGAATTCATTTTTCAAATATGTAAATTAGCTTTTGCTCTATTATCAGCAACAATACATATATTAAAAAAAAAATTCTTATGCAGAATTTTCTTAAAAATTACTGACCCACTTGGGTTTGTTACGTACTGTGAGTATTTTGTGAACATTTAATAGTTTCTGCATATTGTTTTTATTGATTGCAAATTATGATTAAAAAAATAAAACAAAATAACTTAGCACAAAATCCAGGCCTTATTTTTTATAGTTTCAATATCGTCCTTCTGTAAACAATCGCAAATAAGTTAAATTGAGAAACTTCAAGTAAATTATCACTTGACATTTTTAGCTCCATTAGTTTCTCTTAATCTTTAAGAACAGTTTCTATGTACCCATATACATATTTTCTCTATAATATAAAAACAAAGCCCACAGTTTTGGGATGGCTGAAAGTCTTCGAGGTTAGCTAACAGAGAATATCTGATATGGCCAAACGGAAGAAGAAAAAAAGCTTATGCGAAATGCTTAAACACACCTGTTGGAAAAATATTGAGAAATAACAGCTGTAAATTTTTTCAAAATAAAATGAAAAAGCCTTCCGTCATAGTATTTTTCACTAAACAATAAGGTAAATTCTATAATGCTTATTTTAGTATATTTATGGTCTCTCTTGCTATTTTTTTTATTGTTTTAAGTGTGGGCCTGTTTTAAATAAGCTTTTAAAGCATTCTATTTTAGGAGCGATTTAATATACTAAAATCCCATCTCTCTATATAAAAAATTTTTTAATTCAAAATCTAAATGTATTAAAATTTCTAATTCTCTTACTTTTGTATGAATTAAACTATGTCCTGTTGAATAGTAATTCATTGGCTAATCAGGAAAAACATATTTCCTGATCTTCCTGGTCTTAATTAAAAGACTGTTATACTATAAATCTAAATTCATTGAATAAATGAAGAAGGAGGTTGTTCAGTGGAAATTCCATTCAGTGGTTCCTTTGTGTCTCTATGATATATGTAGTTTGTAATTCAGGATCACAATGCTTGAATATGCCACCTTAAGAGAAGACCCCTTCCCTTTGTTGACCCTACCCCCTTCCCTCTCCACCTCTTATCTGTTGTATAGGAATGCACTACAATATTTTCCTCTTTCTTAATATGTTTCCTATTTACTTGTCAAAAATATTTTTTAAAATTTCCACAATGCTTTATTTTTGATCTATGTTCAATGCAGTTTTCAGCATCATATAATTTCCTAATTTAAATGTTTTTAATCTATTTGAAAATCAAGACAGAAACTAGCATACTTCCTTCTCCTATGACTCTCCACACTCTAATGGTGAAAGCATGCGAATTGTTGCCATAGGTCGAAAGTTCTGCCCTACGCCACCTGTAGCCCATTTCGATCACCAATATTGTAGTTTCTGTTCTTAATACTGTTTGTTCTAAACATTTCCTAAAATTTTATCAATGAAAACATGTACATTTTTTTCTCAGTTTCTACTTTTTTTTTGTTGTATAAAATGAAATGTATTGAAACGAAACATTTTTAAAGATGGAATCTGTGCGGTACTTTTAAAGTATCTAAACTAATGCATAAATGTTTTATAATTTCAGAGAATCCCATACAAAGGTTGCATACCTAATGGACTCCATCCTGGCAAACTCATTGAAATCAAAGGATCTGTTCCCTATGGAACTGATTTGTAAGTAACTAAAGTGATTTATATGCTACTGTTTTATTGTATTATTCCAAAACTGGTTTTATATGCTTATAAACAGGGTTAGGGTTTTTCGATCTACTATGAGAGGTAAGATTAACTGTATAATACTGATATTAAATAAAATCTATATTTTATCATTGTCGGTTCAGCAATAAAACAGAAAAGAAGTGTTTAGTGAAATACTTTTTTTTCCTCTTTCATCAAATACTGTTATCTATCAAAAATATGCTGAACTATTTGGTATAATGGGATAAAATTTTTTTAATGACTAAATTCAAAAGTTAAATATATTGAATATTTCCAGAAAAATAAAAATTAAACAAAGAAATAATAGTAGACTTTTATTTTTAATACTCAAGAACTATTATACTGATTCATCTTGAATTTTTTTCTCTTTGAATCACATAGTTCCATGTGATGTGTAAAATTTTATTTTATATGAATCAAATATTTTTTAATCATTCTTAAATTAAATAACTTAAGATTATAATAAGTGTTAAATGAGTGATTTTGCAGGAGTCTGGGCACAAAAAAGTTGAAAGTTAAGTTCTATTAGAGTATTATTGAAGCAAATATTTATAATATATTTGATCATTAAAATAAAAGGAATAAAACTAATTATGTTTAAAAAAAATCGAATTAATTGCTTATGTAAAAAAGTTTTATGTTTTTAAAAACTTAAACTTGTAGTATAAAACATGTTTTATAGAGATTATTTTCTGTTGATGCGTTAATGTCTATAAAACCAACTATTCAATAATAACAATAATGCAACAATTGAAAAAAGTTATTCAGACACTTACTAGCAAGATTGCTGAGTTACAATAATGCTGAAAAATAATTAAAAGTATGATCAAATAAATATCTTATGCTCTTTTCTTTAGTGTTAATAAATGTTAATTTATGGCCGCTAAAACAAGATTTTAGTATTCATAAATATGTACTAAAAATCTTATAAAAGTAATAAATAAAAGTTGTTTTAATTGTATACCTAAGGATTGCATTTTCTTGTGCTTGATATATTTATTTGATATTGATTCATAACTGTTGTATATTTACTTGATTTGCTCTTTTTCCTAAAATTCTAAGGCATAAATAATAATATGAACCAAAATATTTTTTATAATTTCTTTATTTTAACATGAAAGTTTAATTTCAAACAAATTATTACATCTTAATTTGATGGTACATGATGAAAAAAAGGATATTTTTTATAATTTGTTTCTTGTAACAAAATTTAATTATAAATTATTGCATCTTAATTTAATGGTACATGAAAAAAAATCAAAAATTCGAGTTTTGAAATTAACATGTACTTAGTGAAAACACTTGTCTCTGTTGGATGAGCATATTTTCCCCATTGTGTCAAATATCTCAGAAAATAAGCAAAAATTCATCTTTGTGTGGCAACGGAATAAATAAATGCAATATACGTCAAAAATTGAATAGCACCATTTAATGTGCTATGCTCAAGGTAAAAAGTGGATCACCTTAATAAATTTTAATCAAATGTATTTTCATTAGCTCAAAGGACTAACCTTTATACACTGGTTATCATAAATTAAGGAAAATTCACAAAAATCGCGATAACTCTTTCAAAAGTAAGCCAAACCGTGCAAAATTTGCATATGTTGTCCACTAAGAGTAGCTGAGTAAAATTGCAATATGCAAATTAGTGGCGCTGCACTCGGCTTACGTCATCTGCCTGGAGCATAAAAGTCCAAGTTTGAGAGAAAGCACACAAATTTTACTGTGATTGCGACATTGAAAATCTGAGATAGCCAATTCGTAATAATGACCTCTAGGCATCATTTGCCTGAAGAACTACGATGGAGAGC